CCCACCTCCCAGAGTCTCCTCCAAACCCTCCCCAACATGCAAATACAGGAAGAAAAATGTAAGTAGGGATCAGTTCTAGCATTGGCTGGGCTTTTTTATGAGAGAGAGGGCAGAGCAGAAACACCTATGTAACCTTACACAAAATGTTACTATACTAAGGAAACAATACTAACCCATTCTTCATCTCCAAATGACTGCTAAGACGAGAGGGAAGAGAGTCAGCATAACAGTCTGTACACACAGAAATCACGAGCGCTCTGGGATGATAACCTTCCACAGAAGGGATGAGATTGCTCTTTCTTCTAGTCTAGAAACCTTAAGGAGTAAGCTGGGAGTAAGGTGGAGAGAGCACACTGGATGTGGACTCCAGCAGAGCACAGCTGGCTGCCTGGCAGCCCTGGGCAGCTGCAGCCTCAGGCCTGTACCATGGTGATGCCACCATTCGGTCTCCAGGACTTGTGTGGGTCAGTGTGCTTACTAAAAGCAACAGAAAGGTTCAGTTAATTATAGAAGGCTAGACCTCTCACCTCACATAACACGAACCATATTCAAACATGTTATTTTTTCTCACTCAACAAATATGCACTGAGAATCAGCTAAGCCTCAGCACCAGGCTAAGCACTGGGACACGATTATGGTCCCCATCCTCAGGGGCTTAGGTGTGACTTCCTCCAAAGTGAGGAAAGTAAGACAGGTGACCTCGGCTGGCCGTGCAAGGGACATGCAAAGGGACAGTGGCCCCTGCACCTCAGTCTGAAAGTAAGCACACACCTCTCAGGTAGGCCTCACTGCTGGCTACACTACCCTCACCCAGGGAGTCTTTACAAGTCCTGGGGCTTGACCTCTCATCCCAAACCAATTAAGATCAGTCACTGAGGATAGCACCTGGACATTAATTTTTTCTCAACAAGCAGTGAGGTTTTAAAAAAATTATTTTATTGTACTCTTTCAATGAGGACCTGATTCAGATCCTCACACATGCAAGGTGAGCACGCTCTCCCATCGAGCTTCATCCCCACAGACATTCATTTTTTTAAGTGTCCCAGACAACCCATCGTGCAGCTCTACTGAGGACTTTGCTTCTTAACCACTAAGTGTTTCCCTTCCCAACCTTCTCATTTCTTTAATTGATGCTTTAATCTGCAGGAATTTACAATAACTCCAACCATTTCCATGAGTAGCAAGATATCTGCCAGCATTTCTGCTCACTAAGGAAAATCATACTGCAAGCCTTTGCCTTATCATGCAACCTTTCTAGTACCTTTGATCTTCATCTATCTTCACAGATCCAGGCCGTGTGCAGACTCCTAAGCCAAATGGCTTCCAAAGCCCAGCACAAAGTGTGCTGTTCCTCCACCCTCACAATTCTGGGCCATTCCCTGCAAAGTCAACAGATCCTTGTCTTCTCTCATATGGCAAATGCGTAATCACTTACATCGGCTCAAGGACCATGAGTCCATATGGTCCATGTGGACAAAACCCAGCCACTAATGTTCCGCTGATATTCCAGGGCCAATTAGGAACATCAGTTGGGAGTAGCTGGGCATCAAAGATGACTGATGGCCTAGGCCATCCTTGAAGAGCTCACAGGAAGAGCAAGACATTACCCTTGTGGGGACCATCTCTGCCCTGCAGAGGCTTCAGAGAAGGATGTCAGCTGTACTTTGTCTTAAAATCTGTAGGTGGCCAATGGGACACGGGACTGAGGCAAGGAGCTGTGGACCAGGCAGAACACCAGGCCCAGTGAGTCCTGAGGAGCCAGAAAGCCAAAGGTACACCAGCAGAGAGGACAAGTCCTCGCCAAACCTCATCTCATAGTAACTAGAGGTCAAAGCCATGGCGAATTCTAAGAGCCCACTGGCCACTGCTGGGAGCATCCTCAACCATAAACCAGAGGCATGGTGCTCACTAAAGTAAGCTCCCTACAAGGACAGTTTCCTGAAGTACTCCACCATGACCCCTGGAGAGGACAAGTAAGAGCCGACCAGCAGCTGGGGATGGTGGTCATGAAACGGGAAGCAATCCTGAAAAGCTGTCCTAATGACACCATCTGAAATGCAGACAAAGCAGGCTGAAGTGCACACAGGCAATCTTAAAGCGGAAACAAATGCCATTTCCTTATTATTGAGCAAGTAAATGATTCACAGAGGGAATACCATTAATAAGTATGCACATGATGTTTAATATATGCAGAGAACTGGAAGAAGTAGGACACCAAACTGGAGAGCCTGTGTTGTTTTTCTTTTTCTTTTCTTTTCTTTTTTTTTGGGGGGGGTGGGGTGGGGGTAATTCTAGGAATCAAACCCAGGGCCTAGCAAATGCTAAATACAGGCTCTATCACTGAACTATATCTCCCAGCCTCACTCTGCACTTTTTTCTTCTTTTTTTTTTTTTTTGGAGGTCTGAAGTTTGAACTCAGGGCCTTCCACTTGCTAGGCAGGCACTCTACACTTAAGACACTCCATCAGCCTTTTTTTTGTGTTGGGTTTTTTTTTTTTTTTTTGAGATAGGGTCTCACAAAACATTTACCCAGGCTGGCCTGGAACCAAGATCCTCCTGATCTCTGCCTCCCAAACAGCTAGAATTACAAAAGTGTTAGCTACTGGTGCCCAGCTCGGCCTATAATTTTATGTTAAAAGTCATAGAAATTCTGTAAGGAAATAAGGAAAAATTACAGTACAAATAAAAATGGAAAAAACAAAAGTAGAATAATGTCAAAAGTAGAACAATAATGTTTTGACATTATTGTGTATTTTTAAACAAACAGAAGCTTTAAGAAAGCGTATATATAACTCAGGAAATCTATTCTCAAAAAAACCTAAACCCCTCAGCAGAACAAAGATGCCATGAGAACCATGGGCTGTGTGTGCTGCTATGGGGGCTCAAGCTATTGGCCCCCATATCTCTGAAAATCCTCAACAACAACGGATTTAAAAGGAAAACACAGGCCTCTTTATGACTGTTTTGAGACAGTGTTCTACCCTCATCCACTCAAGAATATTTCACCAGACACCTGCACCGGCTGGGAAAATAGAACAGATCTGACACAGCCCTGGGCTTGGGCAGCTCATGACCCAGGGAGTGGGATGAGTGGTCAGTACTGGCTCAAAGGTCATCCAGGGCCTGGGGGGATCCACACAGGGACACAGGGAAGGGCTGGGAGTCAGAAAAGATTTTTAGAGGAGACATCACAAAGGCCATAAAGGAATTTGTCAGGAGAAGCAGCAGACTAGGAAAGGTGCAGAGATAGATATGGCTGGCTCAGGAATGAGGTGGAGGCCAGAGATGCCAGTCAAGGCAGATTCAGAACACCCTGTGTGGCAAACTGGGAAGCCTGGAATCCATCGTGCAAGTGGGAACTACTGTTGGGTCAGGTATGCCACTAACCAACTCAGGCACTTAATTCTCAGGAAAAGGGAGGTGGGCAGAAGGTAAAAGAACAAACATCGAGGTCGAGGCTCCTAGCTATTCACAAATGCAATTCCTCGTGGTCCTGGGCACTGATCCTGTCTCCTGATCTCACTTACAGGTCACTGTGGCCATCTGGGGCAGTTCTAGCCAGTTAACTCTGGTTGGAGGGATGTGGGCTGTGGCACAAGTGTCTGGCTGCAGGAATCCCCCACGCAAGCTCTGCACACTCCATCAGCTGCAAAGCACCTGGCAGACCACACGATGGAAACAAGCACCCTTTATATATACCTCAGTCAGCTGCAGTAGTCAGGTAACCAGAGACTCGTATTGTAGTCAATACTCAATTTCTTCTGCCCTAAAAATAACTTCTAAGCCAGGCATCAGTGGCTGACACCTGTAATCCTAGCTGTTCAGGAGGCAGAGATCAGGAGGATCGAGGTTCAAGGCCAGCCTGGGCAAAAAGCTCATGAGACCCTATTTCAAAGATCTCCAGCATAAAAAAGGGCTGGCAAAGTGGCTCATGTGGTAGAGCACCTGCCTAGCAAGTATGAGGCCCTGAGTTCAAACCCCAGTACCAAAACAAACAAACAAAAAAAAACCTCTAAACTAGGCACAGTGGCTCACATGTGTAATCCTAACAACTCAGGAGACAGAAACTGGAAGGACTGAGGGTCAAGACTAAAAGTTTACAAGACCCCATCTCAACTAGTTAAAAAAAAAAAAAAGAAAAGCTGGGTGTAGTGGCATGTACTATCATCCCAACTACTTGGGAAACACAAACAGGAGGACTGTGGTCCAAGCCGGGCCATAAATGTGAGACCCTATTCATACTTTTATGCAAAAAGGGCTGTGAGGGGCATAGCTCAAATAGTAGAGCACCTACCTAGCAAGTTCAAGGCCCTGCATTCAAACCTGAGTACACACACACACACACACACACACACACACACACACACACACACACACACACACACACACACACACACACACAAAAGAAATGGAACCTGGAATCTGACCAGGACTAGGCTTAGTGAGTATCTATAATCTCACCTACTTGGGAGGCAGAGGTAGGAAGATCGCCATCCAAATCCAGCACAGGCAAAAATGACCCTATTTGAAAATCAAACTTGGAGGCATGGCTCATGTGGTAGAATGCCTGCCTACTAAGCAGAATGCCCTGAATTTAATCCCCACTACAGGGAGGAAGGGAGGAAGGGAGGGAGGGAGGGAACCTGTCCAATCCAGGCAAACTTCAAGTGAGTGAGCAGACAGGTGCTAGGGTGTAAGATGACCTAGGAAACCCTCTTCCTCATTCCCTGGGCCCTTGCTTGCCTGACTTCCCCACGACTGGCTCCTTTCACCTGTGCAGGACATGGACTAGGGGCAGAGCTACCTCTCTTGACTCCCACCACTGCATGTCCTCACCTCCCAAGTAAACAGAGATTACAATTTACTTATTTTCAAACACCTGCAAATGCCAACAATTCACAGATTTTAAAAGCATCCTGCTGGAAGCAAAGAGGAATTAACAGGAAAACTGGACTGCTGTGGGGCCTGACACAGCCATTCTGCAAATCTAGTGGGCTTACCTTCTCCTGTATAAAGAACCTCACAGGAATCCTGAGATAAACCACAACTATTCACAACAAAGAATCAGCAAAACTAGAAGTGAAACCATTCCGGTTACAAACCCAACTCACTCAGCATAAACAGGAACTGATTTGGTGTGGCAACCCAGTAAAACACATGTCCACGCAAAAACACAGGAGGCACAGAAGAGCTTAAGTTCTGCCAAATAATCCACTTTCTAAAACCAAAGTAACTGTGTAAACAGTTTTAAGTAAGCACTGGTCAAGGTAGAAAATGAGACAAGCCACTTTAATTGCCAGGTTATTCTACTATCCACAAACATTTGCAAAGCAGAACAGATTCTCTACCCATTTGGGCAAAGGAAGTGAATTACTGGGTAGAAAGGAGCTGGTGGCGCAGATCTGCTTTGCGGGAAGGGACCTGCCCACAGCCTCTCAAAACCCACACCCACTCAAGGTCCACAGAGCTCCCCACATCCTGTACTGAGTCACCCCCTCCCAGGCTGACCATAACCTCCTGACAGGCAGAACAAAGGTAGGCCATCAAGTCACCATAACACGCAAAGCACACAAATGTGGGGGTCCCTGAAGACACACTATCTTCAGGAGTGTCCCATAAACACCAAGGGCAAACATGTCTTGCAAGGAGCACCTTCATTCTTTCTTCTATTCCCTAAACTGCTTTGCTAGTTGTGAAGTCTCTAAGGATATCAACCCTGAGCAGAAACACTGCAGAGAATTCCGGGTGACTTGTGAGGGCCACTGGGAACACAAATAACTTCTCAGTAGGTCACAGGAATAGATGTGCACGCTGAAGTCATTGTGCTTTGGCTGTGTTTGTGCTATGCTTGAACACAACTGACTCTAGGATGCCACAGAGAAACTGCCCACCACCTTCCCCACCTGAGGTGACAGGAATGATGATGTTAGCACCAAAATGAAGTGGCTAGAATTTAAATGTGTTATACTCAAAGGCAAGTCTTCTAGTCCAACAAGGCAAGGAAAGAGTTAATGGAGCCCTCCCGGGGGACAAAGCACACACCTAGATCACAAAGAAGACATCAGTGCTGTTTCAGATAAAGTCATCCTCTCCTGTCCACCTCCTGATTAAATCCTTTGTCATGTGTTCCTCTCTCTTCTCTCTCCCTCTCCCCCAACATGACCTCACTATAAACAGTAACTGTTTATGTAGTCCAAGCTGGCCTGTACCTCAAGATCCTCCTGCCTCAGACTCTCCAGTGCACAGATTACAGGAGTGTGTGATCACACCCAGCCTGTTTCTCGTTTTCTGGTGCTCATCTTTGAGGCAAGTGAGCACTTGCCAGCATTTGTTCCTTCATTCCTTTATCCATGTAAAAAACAGGGATGGGATCCCTAATGTCTCCTAGTGAGAGCACAGCACTGACCACTATGCCAAGCATTGTATTTATTTAATTTTTGGTGGTACTGAACTCAGGGCCTTGTGCCTACTAGACAGGCACTGTACCACTTGAGTCACGCCTCCGACCCTTTCTGCTTTTAGACACTTTTTTCAGGTAGGGCCTTGAGCTTTTTTTGCCCATGCTGAGCCCTCAAACCAAAATCCTCCCAATCTCCACCTCCCAAGTAGGCATAATCTACCAACAGATGTGATCTATCAATACCCAGCCCACCAAGCTCTTTATATGCACCACCCGTCACAGGCGTTTCAGAGGTAAGAAAACCAAGGTTCAGGAAAATAAGACCCTTTGTCCAGCCATCCAGTCAGAATGGTCAGGCAGACATTCCCATCTTTGGCTCTCCAGGCACACTGACTCTCCACTGAGTTCCTCCTCCCCACACCAAAGAGCACAACACATTCCTTCCAAGCACACCTGAAAGGCCACGCTCCTCACCTTCACTTGAGTGCCTTCAGGTGTTTAGCCACACTCTAGCATCCCCAGGAAGTGTCAAACATGACCTCCTGGGAACAAGCCATCCATGCAGGCTCTAGTCCCAGGTCATGCCCTCCCCACAGCGCCACCTTGCTAGCATGCCCTGGCCCTGTGGATGGGTCTTTCTGCAGGCTTCTCTTGGCTTCACCCACTTCATTATAATTCATCATTGCAAGTGACACTGTGTGTTGCTTTCATACAAAGGGATGAATTTAAAAATAAAATCACAGGTTGTCCTCTGGACCAGCACTGGGAGCAGAACTTCCCACACTAATGAACATACACTGCGAGCTGTCCAACCACTAGTCGCATGTGGCTACTGAGGCCCTGAAATGGCCAGTGCAACTGGGGATCTGCATTTCCCATTTTACATCATTTAATTAAACGTAAGTGCTAAGTGTGGCCAGTGCCTCACACACTGAACGACACAGTGCTAAACTCCAGCGTAATCACCAACCGTGCCCAACAGCAGACTTGGGCAACCGAAAGGGGTGACCGCTGAGTGTGCACAACATGTGGGGCTAGTTAGGGACCAAGACCTGCCAGGGTGCTTCTCAGGGCACTGGGTGGCTGCAAGTGCCACCAGCCTCACAGCCTCTGTCCCTGGCATGCACATCCATAGAGAACATTCTTCTCCATCACCCCACCCAGCTCTTCACTCAATGTCACCTTCTCCACAAGGTTTAAACAGAACCTCTCCAGCTTTCCCAGCCTACCCTCTCTAACACTGCTTCTCTCTCTTCAATAGACTACAGGGGCCAAATGGGACCTTAAGCGAGGGAGGTGAATGCTGCCCACTACATCCCAGGGCTGGGTCTTAAGGTGAACCTCTCTATGGAAATGTGTGCTATCTGCATTCAGATTGTGGTTTGGCAAGCATTTACTGAGTTCCACACAAATGAGCCAGTCTCCAAGTCTGGTGGGGATGTCCCAGTTGGATGACACTGCTCAATGACACAAGCTAGGAGCTGTACACTGAAACATCACCACACTTCCTGTGGATCACCAGTGGATTCTCCTCATTTAAAGTGTGCACAGTAGTGAAAGGCAGAAGGAAACACGTCCCAGGAGGGGTCTCCAGGCCTGCCAGAGGATAGGAAGGCTGTAAGCACAGGAGACACGATTCAGGAAGGCTCCTCCTGCTGGATGGCACTGAGACCGCCTGGGCCGACCATTCATTTAACATCTGGGGAACCATGTCTACAAAGCCAGATGCCATGGGAATGGGTGGCAGGGCCATAAAGCTTCTGCTGCTGAGAACGAGGTCACTGTCTGACATCTGGAGGGTTTTGCTGTGTTTTTACAGTGCTACCTGGCATCACTCCAGGAGAGCCCACAGTAGCTTCAAAGAGACAGCACAGTCAGGGCTTCCCTCCTGCAGGCCCCATACTATCCATGGTGGGCTTCAGCCAAGCAGATGTTCTGCAGAGTGCTGATGGAGGGGAAGGTCCAGGGACCAGAACACCAGGACACTGGGCCCATCAGGAGCACAGCTGAAGTGATAGTACAGAGCAGCTGCAATGACACGTGCTCATCCAGCATCTTCCATGTGCCCATCTAGTGGGAAGTCCTGAGGGCACACAGAAGGCCTGAAAGGCTGGAGAGGACACACTAGCCATGCTGCACATTTGCAGGAACTAGGGATATGGTTCCTCAGAGAAACACAGAGGAGTCACTGAATGAGTGACCCCTTCTCTACAGACCTATCCTGGAGATGGGAAGTTGTTCAGCATGGTACCTGGTGGGGAACACCAAGGGAACATCAAGCATGGGCAACCAGCTGGGAGTGAGGGTGGGGTGACTGCGGAGAACCAAGGGCTGAAGAAGAGGAAGTGGTGCCTCACGCCAATGCGCCATGTTCCTCTTGGATATTTCCTCTTGGCATTTACTTCCCCCTTGCTATCCTGGCCTGGGCATCTCTAAGGGATCATGTCCAATTATGTCCACCCAAGGGCAGAGGAGGGCACCACTGTCCCACATACCTCCTTAGCACAGGGGCCACTAGCAGACCCCCAAGAAGGGAACTGTTCAAGGCTGTTCACACTTCTCCTCTGGCCCCAGCCATGGGAACCCCTGGGAACACCACACCAACCTCTCCCTGAGCACTAGGTGCCATTCCCAAATGGAGCTCTCTTAAATAGTGGGAAGAAGGTGTCTCTCAGTGCCCATCAGAATGAGGCACCTGGGATGGCACTGCTTTCCTGCTCCACCCACACACAGGGGAACAGAATGAGGGCACTTTCCCTCCCCTTCTCCACCTTCCTTGGCCAAAGCCTCAGACACAGCTGCAACCACAGGACAAGCACAAGGGCTGACCCTCCACATTCATTGCCCACTGTTCCATACCAGAAGGTACCTACCAACTTCAAAGTTTCCCTCGAGACCTTCTTGCCCTTTCTGTCCCTCACTCACCAGGGCCTTACCTTATCCAGTGCAAAGGCAGAACTTCCCTAAACTGAGATCCCTCTTACCTGTCCCCCCAACACCTACCTCTCTCTCATGTCACTGTCTTCAAAATCACAGTCCTGCTCTGCACAGATGCCTGTGTAGGGGAATGCAGCTGGGGAAAAATGCACAAGCACACTGACCAGCCTCCACCTCCCCGCCAGCAGACCCAGCAGTGCTTTCCTCTCTGCTCATCTCCCTCCCTCTAGGACATCCATCCCGTCTCTGCTCTCCTCAAACCCAACACTCCATCCCCATGGCTATGTCATGGACACTGTGTCCTCCCAAAATTCAGATGCTGGACTCTTAATCCCCAAGTTGATGGTATTTGGAGTGGAGGCGGGGGGGCCTTTGGGAAGAGTGGAGCCCTCATGAATGGGACTGGGACCCAGATAAAACCACCCCCAAAGAGCTACCACTCCCTTCAGCAATGAGAGACAGCAAAAAGATGGCTGTCCATCATCTCATGATAGATGGCTCACTGAACAAATCTGCCGGCACCTGCCAGCCTTGAGAACTATTTACAAGCCATCACTCTAGTGTTTTGCCACAGCGAGTCACACACACAATATCCACCCATCCTCATTGCCAGCTGAGAACCAAGAACAAAAACAGAGCAATAGGACAAGACCTGACCACAGC